CAGCAGCGAGGAGAGGATGTGGAGGACAGAGTCACGATGACATGAGGAGGAGGCGGTGGTGGGCTGGGCTTCCTCCTCAGGGGAGACGTTGACCTGTCAGAGTAAATGTCTCGTCTGCAGGGACATAAAATCATATTTAAAGATCAGATGCTTTAAATCGTGACCAGCTCTGTTTGAAGAACCTTGAAGGACACGAGGAGAAAAAGAGGAGGAGGAATTATTAGCTCTTCATTAGAAGAGGGGGGGTTAGCTGCTCGTTGCACCTCAGATGGCTCAGTACCCTTTGTTTGGTAAATTAATAAATATATCATTAATATTTTCTCTGACGGGATTTAAAATTTGGAATAACGTGAAGACACTGCTGCAGTTGACCCCAAGCTGACAGGCCATCATTTACCTGTGATGACCTGGAGATACAGACGTGTACCTGATTTAAAGACTTTGTTTCTGAAGCATGAACACGGTTGCTGAAACTGAGACTCTGCCGTAAATGAGCTGTGAAGGATTCGGCCAAGCCCAAGTGTTAGGGGTCAATGCAGCTTATTGAATAATTATTGGTGGAAAATTGAGCAACAGCTAATAACTTAGAAACAAGCATGCTGTGTATTGTCAGCATATAGATTAAAAATATCGCATCATGTTTGACCTCTGACCTCTCCTAAAGCTGTTTGCCATTGCCATTGTTTGTACTGACAGTATATCGGCATATAGGGAATGATATATGGGGATTCTAAACACCACATTACATTATTGTGACTTTTTGTGCATCATAATAACAGGTTATAACTGTTTACATACATAAGAATTTAAATACATGGACTGTGCTCCTGAATACTTTATGCTTTTAAAGAAACGTTTTTTCTCTTGATATTTAAGACGAAACATCTAAGCAAATTTTATTAAACAATGAAATGAATGTGACACATGTCCACATAAATAAAAGTAATACAATAAAATAAACAATAATGACACTCAAAATGATGCCAGGTATGGGTTTCAACAGGGCAAATAAAAACAACTTTGCACTAAATTATATTTAAAGAGAGAGAAAAATAAATTATATGTGAAGGAAGCACCACAGAGTGAGCTGCCTTCTTGTTACATTTGAACCAAAGGACAAAAGTAAAATAAAGTAACCTATTTTTAATTATCCTACAAATGAATCTTTATTTGAAGCAGATTCATAAAGACACAGGCAGCTGCAGCACCAATATCATGATTTTCTGAATTGAACACATTAGTGATCAGATCTGTCCACAGACTCAAACATCAGGCCAGAGGTTCAAATCCTGGAACGATTTTTCAAACCAAACACTCTTTAATGGAAAATCCATTTCTGCTTTCTGATATTAATGTGTAAAAATTAAACACACACACACACCGGTGCAGCTGAGCTTCACACAGTGCCCGTGTCACACAGTGACCGACCGAGTGTGAATATTGAAATAACTTATCTGGTCACACACACACACAGGGATTATAGCGGTCTGGCATTTATTTTGTGAACTTCCATCAACAAACACATTTGGACAACCGTCTTCGTGAGGACTTCTGACCCTGAATCCTGGTTTGAACCCTCAGACCCTCCTCCTCTCAGACCTGCAGGCCCCACCAGTTTCCTCGTTCCTGATCCTCACAAAGACAGAAGTGCAGGAGGGCACACACTCAGCTGGGTGAAGGTTTGCATGAAGCTTCCACCTTATCTGCAAACTTTCCTCCTACTTCGTTCCAACCGACACAACTGTAATTTCATGGCCTCTGTTTCCCACACAGAACACTCTGTCTGTGTGTGTTTGTGTGTGTTTGTGTGTGTGTGTGTGTGTGTGTGTGTGTGTGTGTGTGTGTGTGTGTGTGTGTTTTACCTCCCAATCACAGTATTTTGTGACGACGGACTTGTGTGTATATATAAATATATGTTGGACATGGTCCACCAAGATGAGATGACGAACATCCACAAGTACATCAGGAAGATAGCCACAACTGACCGTGTGCTTAGTCTATACCTGAGGCACCATGGAAGGCTAGGCCCCTGCACGGTATGCACCACTGGCAGATAGAGGAAGTGGCTGACATCCAAAAGTCCTACCAGTGGCTGGCAAAGCTGGACTGAAAGACAGCACAGAGGGACTAATCATGGCAGCACAGGACAAATGCCCCTGAGACAATCTAGCACATGACAGCAGGGTGCAAGATGCTAGCAAGCAGGGCATACATGGAACGCCACAACCAAGCAGCCAGCATAGTATACAGAAACATTTTTGCTGAGCATGGCCTGGAAGTCCCAAGGTCAAAATGGGAGACGCCCTCTAGGGTGGTGTAGAATGACCGAGCTAAGATCCCGTGGGAATTCCAGATACAGACAAACTGGTAATGGCTAACCAACTGGACATAGTAGTGGTGGACAAGCAGAGGAAGACAGCCATAGTGATAGATGTAACAATAAAAAATGACAGCAGGGTCCCAGGGGTAATCGGAGCACTTAGTGCAGTGACTTCCAAACTAGGCGAGTGGCTCCAGCAGATTCCTGGAACAACATCTGAGACATCTGTCTAGAAGAGCGCAGTCCCAGGAGCAGCTAAGATACTGAGCAGGACCCTCAAGTCACAGAGGAGGACCCAAGCTTGCAGGGGCTAGAGGGGAATTTTCTATGAACCAATCAGTAGCCTCCTCTGTTGACATGTGACCATCTGCAGTTCCCTTGATGCCCACTAGATGCTGCTGTGATCAAACCCAGACTGACCCAAGTTCTCACGGTGCTGCTGTGAGAAATTATCCCTTAAAACATTTATGATAAAGTTAAGATTTAAGATAAATAACACATTTGTGTAAAATCGTGCTGCTGTAACTTCTTCAATGTGAATTATTACTTGAATCAAAACGTCCAGACATCAGAAGAGGTCAGACAGATGTGTTTAAAATGTAACGTATATGTTGATGCTGATTCTGACACAGCCACAATAGCTCTGAAGTGAAACCATCATTCTCCTGGCATGTGTGATGTGCCATATTTTGGCCTGGATGGAAGGTGTTGAAGACCGGGTTTCCATGTCTGTGATGTCTTCAGGTGGAAGTCCACGAGACTTTAGCTTTTACAGCTTTTTAATCTCACCTTTCAGATGGCTGGACTTACATTTATGAAGGCATTGCTAGTAAAATCCACTCTGTGTAAATCTACAGTTTTATGAAGATGTTTTCTTCTCCATGGAAAGAATCCTGAGATCATCCACTCAAATCTTCTAGCATTCCTCTTTTTAAGACTGAACCAAACTGTGGGTGACCCAAAGGTTTCTGCTGCTCAGTCTTCTCCATCCTTTCTTCTTCTGTGATCCTGCTGGAGGTTCCACAGCTGCTTGGGTCTGCTTACAGCTTTTTAACATCCTGTCTGCTGCTGAGGCCGACAGATGTTGGCACGTCAGCTTTCTCCTGATGCACTCGGACAATCAGACATCCACCTTTCTTCGCTAGGGTGGATGTTGAGATGAAAGGAAGGATCCTGGGATCATCCCTCTCTGTCATCTCTCTCTCTCACACACACACACACACGCACGCACGCACACGCACACACACACACACAAGAGCTCCCACTCTTTCTGCTTCCTCCCGGTCTGAACTGTGAATCTTGTGAAGCGTGCTTCAGGATGATAATTGAATTTTGATGAAAGCCACATGGAGGCTAACTCTACATGGAAATACAAGGAGTACCCCCAACACACACACACACACACACACACACACACACACACGCTCACTCGCTCTGTGTACACAGTAATAATTAACCAGAGGAAACGCTCGCTGCTCAGCGCTAACAGGAACTCCTGTTTCTGTGTGTAAATTAGAAAATAAACTGGCCTTCATGTTTTACTTCAGCAGCTCAATTTGACTCCATTATCACATTTTCTGTTCATACACAGACAGCAATTGCAGAAACGAATATGCTCTACTCAAAGTTATTTGAATCCAGCTGTTACACATGAATGCATGGTCCAGCACCAGAAAGTTCAAAACCAGAAAGATAACATTAGAAAAACCACAAAAATGTACAAATGTCACCGGATGCTGTAGCTGCACATGACGGTGTTATGTCACAGGTTGCTAGAGTTGCAGATGATATTGGTGTCGTTACACAGGTTGCTGTTGTTGCAGATGTTAGTGTGATGTCCGGTATTGTTGCACGTGTTCTCAGAGCGTTGCGTTTTCTCTAACAGTTGCTGTAATTGCACAGGTTTGTTTATTGCTTCAGTTACCATGTACAGTTGCAGGAGTCACTAGACTTTTAAACACATTTTTTTCACCGTCCAAACATTTCCAGACTGATGGTAGTGTGATATCATTTCCTGTCTGTGCTCTTGGCCGTATCGCTGTGTGGCAACACTGAAATGTGTCTTTGAGCCCTGAAAACTGGAAAACCCAGCAGTGGAAAAAGATCCAGCTCATTTTGAAGGTTTTTCCACAGTCTGGTTTTTAAGAAGTCTTAATGCATCATTACCTCCGTAAACTTCAACCACAAACAGGAAGTAAAAGCTTACATTAAACCTCAAATGTGACTAAAGTAGCCGAGGTTGGAAGAGAAGCTTTGAAATCTGCTGGAAATTCTGTGACTTCAGAAAAGTTTTCACACCCTTATCTGAAAAGTAGGAAAATATGTTTTCCTTTTAGTTTTCCCAGCAGTGGGTGGCACAGTGGTTAGCACTGCTGCCTCACAGCAGGAGAAGCTCCTGGCCTCCTGGCCGGGGTTTCTGTGTGGTTAGGTTAACTGTTGATTCTAACCCCCTGACAAGAAGATGGATTTAAACGTAGGTTTAAACTAAAGGCAGACTGCTAGTGACTGTCAAACAGGCCTGAAATACATCTACAGTAATAACAGATGCTGGTGTGTAGATTAACAAAAAGAAACTTTATTTACAAAGTCTTTATGACAAACAGAATAAGTTAGAGACAGGAATGGGTGGAGCAACATGTCAGCACACCAAAAAACAAAAGTGCAATTAAGTGTTTTTTTAAGGATGACTCTGAGCGACCATTGAATAGATTCAAACAGACTGTGACTGAAGATGAGGAGGGATTTCTTCACAGCAGGTCTGAATTTATTGCACTGATGGAGATGCCTAAACAGAGAGGGAGAAAATATCCTTTAATATTTGGTCATTCATAGAAGCCCCTCGATCAGGGACAACACTGATCAGATAAAAACAAAGATTTGGGAACAGTTCATCTTCCAACCATCAACCTCGGAGGCTGACTAAATGAAGCATCAGAAACCCTACACACTGCGGAACATCAGTCATTTACTGACGTTTAAGACCTAAAAACTTACAGGCAGCGTCCAGGTGAGCTCACAGAGAGTGATGTGGCTTCCTGAAAGTCTCGTTGGTGATGGACAGACGGGTCAGACGGGCGCCGTAATAATCCACAATGTAGTTTGATCCGTCCGCTGGACCCACGATCTGCAGGAGAAACCAGAGAGAGGGAGGGAAATTAGAGCCAGGTTTTCAGAAAGCGGAGTTGTTGTTTCTGTGAGCTTCTAAAGCAGAGGTGGAGGTGATCATGCTCAAAGCGGCTGAAGGCCGACGCTTTAACAAAGATGTTCAGCAGGAGGACAAGATTAATATTTGTGCGTTTGTGAGGATGGTTTGAGCCTCCATCAGCCAGAATCAGGTTTGGAGTTTGACTCTGGGTCCTCTTCTGTTTTTATTCATTCATTCGCTTCCGCTTATCCTTTTCAGGGTCGCGGGGGTGCTGGAGCCTATCCCAGCTATCATAGGGCGAGAGGCAGGGTACACTCTGGACAGGTCGCCAGTCTGTCGCAGGGCTAACACACAGGAACAGACAACCATTCGCACATTCACACCATTCTGTTTTTATTCATTGTCATATTCAGTGAGGATAAACGTAAAAGGGAATTTCATTTCCACGCTCGAAGAATGTCTGGAAAACCTGTCACATCAGAATCAGAAGATGTTATTTATTCCCAAGGGGCAATTAACAAACAACAGAGCAGCATAACGTTGAAGATAAGGACAATAAGAACAGGCAATATGGGTGAAATAATAAATACACAGAATATACAGTTTTAAAATGACAGTCTTAAAATTAAAGTGACTGAAAGGTGAATAAATAGCTGTAAGTGATTAAAAGTGAATAGTGTCTGTAGCCGTTGGTGGCACCTCCTAAGAATCTCCTCTGTGTTGGCAGAGAATTTCAGAAATAGAGTCCGGAACAGACTTCCTAGTTGCCCTGCACAGTGCCTCAGAACTCGACTGCGATGTTGTCAGGGCCGGGTGAGCTCCTCTCCCTGGTCCTCCTTAGGGCTCACACCACGTCCTCAGTCCTGAAGGTGAGTGGAGAGCTGCCAGGTTTGAGTGAGGATCTGGTCTCCTCAAGCTGGGCCATGTTGTCCGTCTCAAACCTGTAGAAAGTGTTGAGGTCGTCAGAGGGAAGGAGGGGTTGCTGCCCTCCACCTGGATGGTTCTGGGGGTGGTGACCGCAGTATTCACAGAGGCCATGGTTTTGGGGCCCTGCCAGGCTGAGTGGAGGTCCCCTGTGGTGAATTTGTTTTCAACTGTGTTTTTAATACTTCGGTTTAGCAGTTTTTATGGCCCTCTTGACCTCCTTTTTGTCCAGTGCAGAGCCGGTGAAGAAAAATTTTTATTAAGGATTTCCTTGAGTTCCTTGGTAATCCAGGGTTTGTTGTTGAGGTAGATGGAGACTGTTTTGAGGGGATAATGATGTCAACACAGAAGGAGTTGTATGATGTCACCGTGTTGACTTATTTGTCAATGTCAGAGGGAGAAAGAAGGCTGTCCCAGTCAGTGGCTTCGAAACATCCTTGTAGGGTGAGGATACTTTCCTCTGTCCTCTTGATAACTGGGGTGTAAGCAGGAGCCAGCAGGATGTTTTAGCAGCAGCTTGAAGCAGCTAAAGCGCTAAATGACGTTCATCATCACTGAATTCTACTAACAGCATATTTTATCATCCACCAAATGTAATGAGCCTTGAATATTAATCACAGTTGTGGTCTGAATGGGGGCGGATACTTCCCAATGCCTAAAACTCCTAAAGGGCCGTTCGCTCTTCCTGTGTCTTAGTTGGGTGTGGGCGGGGTTAATAGCCACAGCCCGTTCAGCCCCCCCCCCGATGGATTTCCAGTCTATATTATCTAAAACGGTTCAGCAGGACAGGGAGATCTGTCCCTTCACCTCTGCTTCATCCATCTGTCTCCGTGCTCTCAGAGTCCATTAGGACCTTCCGGAAGATTCATTCATTAAAGGGGCCTTGCCGAGCCACCAATGGATGGACGTAAATAATACCCAGAAAGCTGCCGCCTGCTTATTCATAAGGCCCCCACCACCACCCCACACAGACACACACACAGTGAAATGGAACAGAGGAATGCTTCATCACAGGCGTCACTGTTAACAACAGAGAAGAAGTGACAGCGGGCTCTAAATCGCTGCTCCGATCCATCTGATCTTTTGCTACAGTTTGGGTGAGTTTGATCTTCAGCCTGCTGACCTCTGACCCCAGGAAACAAACACATGAGACCAACCAGATTCAACGTAAAGGGGACATTTTCAGCCATGGCGATGATGATGATAATGGTGATGAGCTAGCTGGTGCCGGTGCAGGATTTATGACTCACCTGCATGGCGATCAATATGAAGTCGATGAGTGTGCCAATCCCACAGAAACCAACAGTGCAGAACTTCAACAGTCCTGAGAGAGAGACAGTCTTCATTAAATAACAAATATAAAATATTCCCATGACTGAAACATGTTCATCTTGTTTTAAACATTTAGTCTGTTTTAAATGGATACTTGATGTTTTCTGATAATTCTTTTTAAAAATTATTTTGTGTTTTTGGATCATGTTTGAATCTTTTCCTGTCCGTCTGGGTTTTATTTTGTGTTGTGTGAATGGATCTCATTCCTGTTTAAACAGGCGAAACATTCCAGGTTTTTAATCAGGAGGACGCAGCAACTCTCAGGTCACATGACTCTCTCAGATCACATGCAGCAGCAACACAGCCCGCTGAAACAGTTTTTTAAATTTTAATTCAGATTTTATTGTACAGTTTGCGTCAGAGATCAGCTGGGGTGTAAAGCCACACCTGAGGACGCCGGACATGCCGGGTGCAAAAACCCTCCAGCTGTCACTGTACGTAAGCCTGTGTGCTGAAGTGTCCTGTGGGGGCACAGGGACTCTGCTGCTAATTTTACAGCAGAAAGTCGTCAGAGTGCAAAGGAGTGAGGATGCATTATTTACATGAAGGAGCCCAGACTCATCAGCCTGCAGCCTCCTGCTCTGCTGTTGGTTTCGCTCAGATGAAACGCAATGAAAACATGTCTGCGTGTGCTTTCTCAAACTTCTCAACTCTTCCTCCTCTTGTATCTGGTCTTCCTGCGCTGAGTCAGTGTCTGAGATCATTGTCTGAATGTTACAGTACATAGTAGAGCATGGCAATATGACCAAAAATATTTATCACAATATACATTTGAAATTTTGTGATAATGGTATAACTGACGATATAATTGACACCAGACAAAATACTTTACAACTCCACAACTTTATTAGTGCAAAAAAAACCAACCCATCAATGTATTTTCGCTTAAACAAGCAGCTGTTTTTTTTATGTGCATTAAAGTTATAGAAAAATTTTACAGTGCAAATGCAAATTCCTTGCTGACAGTTTAACCAAAAAGCATTTCCAGTAGAAATTGGCCGACATATCCTCAGTATAACCATGTATAATATCCACAAAACTTAAAAAGAGGTTATGCACACACAATACGGTAACATTATGTTGAAGCACAGTACGTATCACTCCGCGAGGCTCCTGCCTACGATAGCCGTAATGCTCCGACAATCCATCAAGCGGTGCGGCTTCGTAGCTTAGTAAAGTCGTACTGAAACATTTGACAGATTTTCGAGCGCCGTGTACATAAAATCGTTTCGAGGTCAGTAAACACAACCAGAATTCATACATAAGGCACACGGGATTATAAGGGGCACTGTCGATTTTCAGAAAAATCAAAGGATTGATTTTAAGTGTGCCGTATTTTCCAGAAAACACGGTAATAACAACGGCCCGCTAGCATGCTCTACCAAAAGTAGTGCTTTGTTGTGTATGTGACGGATGAAAGCTAAACCAGTTCCACACCACTGAAGCTGCAGCATTTTTACAAACCAATTCTGGTTCATCCATTTCATTCAACGATCCGCTTTCCCCCTTCTCATTCTCCGTTGCCGCCAAGCTTTTTCCACCATGTGCATATGAAAACAAAGGCACTACGCATTCGCGTTTTACCCATATTCTACCACGATATTTCATTTTCTTATCGTTGCCCAACATTATACCGGTATTACCGTGAACGGTATGATATGGCCCAGCCCTAGTACATAGTATTCACTTTAATAAATACCTGCAGACATGAGAAAGCTGTAAATCTAAAGCGTGACTCTAAGGTGGTTTTTCCTTTCATTCAATTCTTTAAATTAAACCTGAAAGGCTGAACCTGAGGAATCACTGTCCAAATGCTGACGCCTGACAGTACACCTGCTCAGCGACAGGTGTCACCTGACTGCACCCCCACCCACCACACACACCTGCTTTACTAAAACTAGATGAAGTGAGAGAGCTGGCCACCCAAACTACAGGCATCAAAATAAAAGCTGCAGGTGTGTGTGTGTGTGTGGGTGTGTGTGAGAGAGTACCCAGAGCAGGATATCCCAGGTAGAAGCGATCTGCTCCGAGCCAGCCCAGAAACAGAGACAATGCCACGGCCACTTTGTAGGAATAACCACTCCTGACAGGAAACACAGAGAGCATCAAACCACCTGAAGCTCACACACACACACACACACACCAAAATCTATAGAGGAGTGTGTGTGTGTTTGTGCTTGCACTGTGAATACTCACACATTTCTGCAGGGGATGGATTTGTTGAAGCCGACCTCGTCCCCGCTAAACCTGAACACCGTCCCGTTGGAGAGCCGACAGCTGATGTTTGGAGCTGGGAGGCATTCCACTGAGTGCACACGCGAGCGCGCACACACACACACACACACACACACACACACACACACTTGTTTAGATGCAGTTATGATCGTATTCGTGCCATTGAGCAGCTCCGCATGATTCACGATTCATAATAATCCTTCTTTGCCTGATCCCAGCTTCAGTGCAACCCCTCAGTTCATCCTGTCTGAAAAACTCTGCTCACTTTATACCCCGCCCCCAAAATAAAGTACAGTTTCTCTTGATTGGCTGACCTGTGGAAGCCTGCAGAAGAGGAGCTCTGCAACATCTTCAGTTTTAGAGTCTGTCTGTTTTTTAAGCCACCGCCCACAAACAGAAAAAAATCTAATCTGAAGTGAGACTCACCCCACGCCGTCATGTCCCTGCAGTTCTCTGGCTCCTGAGTGGATTCATCGATCTTTGGATCGTTGCATTTATATGTGAGCAGAGTAAAGGAAGGCAAACACACTTCAGTCGGAAAACATCTGCAGCCTGTTTCTACGTGACATGGCGTAGGCCGTGGTTTAGGGGCGGGGAAAAGAAGTCGATACAGCATCGTGTCAAGATACTGTACGGATACAAGGACCCCAAATATCGATACTTCATTAAATAAATGAAAATACTCTGGAATCCTACAAACAATCTCATGCACACCATCCTGAGATAACATTAGCTTCCTCACATGTACAATTAAATCAGCAACCTCTTGCCGACTGTACAGCTGTTTTCTCCGTACCTGGTGCTGACTGTGCGGCTGTTTTCTCTCACCCTGTGCTGACTGTGCAGGTGCCCACAGTTCGTAGGTGGTTCACTCACAATGATCACAGGTCATCTGACGGAAAGCAACATTTCTGCAAACACTGTCTTACTGCGGCCACTCGCCGAGACTGCTGAAGGTTTGCAAATAACTGCTTTATAAATGCAGATTGATTGCCATCATGTTCCCATCAGTTATCACGGAGCACAGATCGACTCTGGGCTGTACCCTGGTTATAATCCTCTAGCACAGGAAGGCTGCTGAGTGCAGATGTGATAATTAAATGTGAATTTCTGTCTATGGAGACAGCAACAGATGCATGATTTTCAAATTGTCACAAATCATACTTGTAATAAACTTTGGTGAATTATCAGAGACGGACTGCATTCAGTTGCAGACTAACTTCATCTTATGGCAACATTTACGGCAGGTTTTAGTGACAGCCATGGCTTGGTTGACAATAACTGAACTTTATCTTACTGGGTAAAACAGACACTGATGAAGGACACGAAGGTTAAAAATCACAGTAATATCGTATCATTAGGTAGACTGACTGATGAAAACAGCAGTGCTGCACTGAGTAAACATTCTGTGTTTATGAAACAAACTTATTCTCCTGATTCGGGTCTCTGAGCTCTCCTGACACAAGTGAACTGTTCGGTCTTCAGACTGAAGTTAAATATCCGTTCGTAACTGCAAAGACAACGGGAAGCTTGTCTTCCTTTGAAACTTTAATCTGACCACACTGAAAATATCGATCAGACTGAAAAACCCTTCAGGTCCCAAACATGCAAACACACAGTGCTATTCTATGAGAGGAGAAACCCGCATTAAGCCACGGACCCCCAAAAAACGTCCAAATGTAACGTTTTGATCTGAATGTCACAGAGAAGCTAGGCTAACGTTAGCCGTCCCGTGACCCCGGTAATGAGGCGTTAAAGCGCGGTAAACACGGACGGAAGGATATTGTCCGAGTCTCAGGTTCTGGCAGTTCTCCGCCTCCTCGCTCAGGACCAGCTGCAGGTGCGAATAAACGCAGTAAAATAAGAGGCTGAGCGCCCCGGAGCGAACACACAGCAGCCGCCTCCGGGAGGACGCCATGATTCCCTCAATCACGTGACAGGGCGGTACCTTCATGGACTTGCAGCATGCTGGGAACTCAGAGCGATGTAGGACCAGGAAGGCTCGGCAAACCATTTATATTTATTATTTTGGTTTTATTTGTATCGTTTTCAAATCTAATCATTTTTAACCATAAGACATATATAACCTTTGTTCTTGTTATAAAATCAGCTCTTTAAATAAGCTTAAAATGCTGGCAGGTAAAACAGTTTCAACCTGCTTCATGTGTGTTATTTTCTCGTTTTAGTATGGATATTTTATCTCAGATGTAGAAATAATTTCTCTTCCTTATTGTGCTAAAATAATGAATGTGCTTTTAAACAGAATACGGAATTAAAAACAGTTAAACTAATGATAAGGAAACAAAATGATCCTTAGATTATGCTTTTGCATCCTTAGACATCAGATTTCCTACCGCCATGAATGCGGCATTAAAGTGACGCTGGTGGCAGACTGGATCCAGTTTATGTGAGTTTCTTACCAGTTTGAAACTCTGAGAATCTACGTCTTTTTCTGGGGAAAGTGTCGCTTTATGTGCGGACTGTTTCTCTGTTAGAGTGCGGACCGGAAGCGCAGTTTCTGCCGCAGTTAGCGGCTAAGGCTAGCGGAGCGGAGTTCTCGGTGAGGAGAAAGAAGAGGAGGAGAAGCTCCTTTAACTCTTTACTTTATTCTCATGATCTGAACTCAGACTTTGTACCTGTGTGTGCGTGAGTGAGTGAGAGAGAGAGAGAGAGGCGGTTAAAGTGCGGCTTTCACCTGTTGTAAACTTTGACGCACCTGCTCGCGCGCTCTGTGACGCTATGAGGTGAACCAAGGGCCAAACATGCAGGTTAAAATATGTACAGGTGAAAATACCGTCTGTCCGCCCCCTCCCCCTCCGACTCCGCTGCTCAGTTTCACTTCCTGATTTCTCAGGTGAGCTGACAGGTGAGTGCCTCAGACCCCCTCTGCGTCATGCTGTTTGGTTTCGGTGTTGGGGGTGTGTGGACCGTGTGTGAGTGTGAGAGAGAGAGAGAGCTAGACAATAGCTCGGCTCGGCTCTGACTGAGAAAATATTCCGTGCTGATATCGAGGCTCACCTGCCACACCTGGACACTCCGAGGACGGCCGTGTTAGCCACAGGTGGGAAGTACCTGAGTGCTTTCAGTACCACAGTGAAAGAAGGTGTGAAGTAACTCCTTAGGTATTAGGTACAAGTTTTTAGAAAGTAGAATGGTGAAAAGTACGGTGGCTCGGAGGGCACAGTGCACGACAGGGCGAGAACGCGCAGGTAAGGTCAGAAACGTCACTTTGCGAAATGGAAACCAGTAAACACCGTCAGGTCAGGGCTACCGTTACCGTGGTGACTCAAAGCGACTGTGTTAAAGTTGCGGTCACGTGATTGCGGGCACCTGCTGGGGTGTCGGTGGTAGGTTCAGGGTGTGGTGCTGTGTCACACGATTCTCCGGTGCTCGTGACGGTTTTGGTGTTGATGGTACGTTCTCGGTTTCCGGTTCCCTGTCATAGTTTTCATCTTGTTTTTTCCTGTTTGGTGTCAAATTTCAGTGTTTACAGGCCTGTTTCATAAATCTGCTCTGTGTAGTATTCTCTTCACGCAGGGCTGGTTTTTGTGGTACTTCAGTTTGTAGTATTTGCTGTTTGTGGTATTTGCCTTTTGTGTTTGGAGTTCGTAGTTTGTTATCTTTACCATCTTTACTTTATCGTTTTCAGGGATTTTCAACATCACTTTGGTTTTTGTCTTTTTGAGGTTGATGGGGTTAGTTACGGTTAGTTAAGGTTAGGTTAGGCTCATTAATACCAGTTGGTTGTCTCTCTGTGTTTGCCCTGGACAATCTGGCCAGCTGTACCCGCATGTTGCCCTATGGCAGCTGGGATAGGCTCCACCCCCTGTGACCCTGATTTGGATAAGCAGAAAGAAATGAGCAAGGTGTTTGATGGTGTTTCTGATATTATGTTTTTGGTGTTCTGTGTTGGGTCATATTTTGGCCAATTTTGGTGGGAGAAAAGGTGAGTGTGACTCACCTGAGACAGACAGTGCACGGGTGCTGACATGCATGTTTTCCTGTGACTTCATGCAGTGTTGTTGATGACAGAAAGAGCGGTCAGTATGAGTCGTGCTGTGAGGTGTCAGAGCACAAGTATCTCCACACTTGCTCGTATTTTAGTAGGCGTTTATCAGACTTGGTCCAGAGCTGAAGGAAATAAAGTTGTTCTCGGTTCTTCCTGGTTTAGGTTAGGTCCTCCAGAACAGAGGACGGAGAGAGCACAGCAGAGATGTTTGAAAATGTCCCGACAGGTAAGTCCTGACTATAACTCAAGAGAAACCATCCAATGATTCGCGTTTATCCGAGACCACGCTTGACAAGCTGTTTTTGTCCTCAGTGTCCTCGACTGAGCGTCAGCAGGTGCTGGCAGCTCTGGAGCGTCTGCAGGCCAAACTGGTGCAGCGGGAGGAGTGGACCCACAGCGAAACCCTGGGAAACCTGCGGGAGACGCTGCAGAGCCCGCTCTTTAACCACATCCTGACCCTTCAACACTCGATCAAGCAGCTCCGCAGCCAGGTGAGCCTCACTGAGCATGCTCCGTCATGCAAAATAGAGTGGATAGGATCACTCTGATCCTGGCACAGATGTTTAAGGCTTACCGGTACTTCACCTGGACTGCAGGAGCCATAGCTCAGGTGAAGGAGTTCACACAAAACAAAAGAGCCTTAAATGATGAAGTTTTATATTAACAGCTAGTTTATGGAATATTTCATTCACAAGAATTTTATTGTTTTTATCCACAACCATGTTTCCCTCACCTCCTTTCTCGTGATATGAAAGCTGTGCACTGTATGAAAGAAACAACCTCGTAACAAGAAGAAAAAAGAGGTTAGCTAGCAACAGGGAGCTAGCTGCAGCGACACACTTTGTTGTTTGTCTTCATGCTAGGGCTGCACGATTAATCGTTAGAAAATCGCGATCTCGATTCATACTTATGTGCGATCTCATTTCCAAATGACAACGATTTAAAAAAAAAAAAAAAAAAAGACGACGACGATTGTACCGCATTTTGATCCGGGACGTAATCTGCATGAAAACAAGCGCTCACTCTTCCTGCTCAACAAATGACAAGGGCGGAGCCTTATACCACGTGATACAGAAGCTGTGCCGTGTGATGCTAAAATTAGCAGGGAAAAAACAACGGAGAGCACGTCAGGGATGACGAGAAAGTGACAGGAGAAAATCCGTCCCGGTCAACCACCCAAACATCAATAACGGGAACCTTATACAGCGCTTCCCTATACACGTCGAACTCCCGCAGGCACAAAGAAATTACGGAGGCTATCACTTATCACCTGACCAAAGATATGGCTCCCATCAACACTGTGCAAAACGAGGGATTTAGGAAAATGATCAACACCCTAGACCATAGGTGTCAAACTCTGGCCCCGGGCCAAATTTGGCCCGCAGCCTAATTACATTTGGCCCGCGAAGCCATACCAAATTACTATTAGAGCTGGCCTACTGGTATTATACAGCTAATATATATATTGTTTAGTATTAAGCTTTGCTTGTTCCATATTCAGTTTTTCAGCAAAACGTGTTTGAGTCCATAAGAAAAGATTCATTCTTATATCTGGAGGAATAAATATATTTCAATAAATATTAACGTTAGCCCGCGACTTTGTTCCAGTTTTGAATTTTGGCCCACTGTGTATTTGAGTTTGACACCCCTGCCTAGACAAACGCTACACAGTGCCGTCCCGCAACTATTTTTCTATTGTTGCACTACCTGCTCTATACACGCAGTGTCGAGCAACGGTGGAGACGGAATTTCAAGCAGTACAACATTTTGCGGCAACAACAAAACGTGAGACATTTGTTGTTTATTTATTGTTTTATGCAGTCTTCAACTGTTACGAAGTTGATGTGCAGTTAATAAGTGCAATAAATATTTATATTGGAAAAGAAAATCGTGAGAGAATCGTGATCTCAATTCTAAGCCAAAAAATCGTGATTCTCATTTTATGCAAAATCGTGCAGCCCTACTTCATGCCTTTACTCCACTGAGCCTGACACAGGGCTGCAAACACGAACATACAGGTTTTTCATTTGTACATTTTTTTTTATGGCTAACTATCATCTACTGTGATCGCCATTTTATTTTTTAAATCATAGCCTATTTTTTAAATGTATGTTTTGACTGGTTTCAGTCTGAAAAGCAGACTGTAAGACAGACCCAAAACACACACAATGTTTGTGCTCACAGTTCAGCTTTTATTGCCAAGTTTCACATGTACAACTACACAGTCTCTGCTCAGAGTTGGTCTCGGCACGCATGCACTGGCCTCTCACTATAAAAAGAAGAGACTGTGATTAGTCCAGTCGCCACCACCTGTGGCCTCCCCAGGCACCACCCACTTGAGCTCGCTGCGCCTCCCCTGCAGCTGAGCCGGGGACCACACCGCCGCCACATGCACATTCTCATGTCCAGCAGGGGGCGACTTCTCGGGTTGTACAAAAAAAGCACTATATAAGAATCAGTCCATGATGAATTTCAGGGCTGACTGAATCAAACATGAGGTCATTTTGGAGATTTTTGTGCTGTCAGAGTCACAGCAGGAGCAGGAAGTAGACAAGGGCGGGGCTATACTGTGATTGAAAAGTCACCTCTTAATGAGTGAGCAGACTCCCCGAATTTTTCAGTCAGGTATGTCAGGCAGATGATGCACTGCGAGATAAATCGGTCCTGAGAGCTGCTATAGAGCTGGAGATGAGCAGAAGATGTCCAGAAACACATGAACGGTCCTGATTAAACCAGAAAAGAACCTGAGTTCAAGTAAAACGTCAGAAATGGAACAAAAAGCTTTCAGTTAGGTTTACTTCAGTGGGTGTTTCTCATCACATGTTCTCCATCTATCTGTGTGAGTGTTTCCCATCAGATCTGACAAGTGTAGCCCCGCCCAGGTGTTGACAGCCTATGGGTATCAGTCCTGTGCTGCCTCCCGCCCACCGCTGTGACCCGGGCCGTCGAATCCTCTCTGCATCGCCATCTGTATTCAGCTCGCGCCTGCGCTGACGTGAGCTTTACAATAAACAATCTGCAGGCCAAATTAAGATAATGGCAATAACCCGCGGCGGGCTTCATATTCTAAGTGCTGCGAAGGTCAGAGCGAGTCTATGAATGCACCGATGGAAGCCGGCGGAGGGTATATGAAGCGGGGACTTCTCCCTTTATTTCTGGCCCTCCCTCCCCAGCGTGCTGCAGATCTATCAGGCTTTAATATCTGGTGTCTCGGTTTGAGTAACGGCCTTGTCGAGGTGGTATTGATGAAATGGCTCGGGATCCTGCTCCGTCAGCCCGGTCTAAATAAGCCGCAGACTGATAAGTTTCCACAATGTGAGTGTAAAGGTCATTAATACATTACCTGTTCAGAGAGAGCGCCTGCAGAGGAATCTATTGATTTTAGTTTTTTCCTCTCTCCTCCCCACTTACCCCCGGCCTCGCCGCGTCTTTTTCTTTTTTTTCTGCGTCCTTGCACATAAGGGCGCCTCCCATCTCTCTCCCAGTCTGCCTCTTCATCACAGTGAAGTTTGTGGCCAAAGTTCAAAAGTATGTGGACAGTTTCTTTATGCCCGTGCACACAGTCAGTCAGCGGAGCCTGGTTCACATTCATGTGTTTGAGTCTAAACGCTGGACATCTGTGTCCAGCACGATCCCTGATGTCACTTCTGTTCACACCTGAGACAAACAGGAAAGCAGTAGGTGTTTAGTTCAGACGTGACATGCGTCAGTCTGACATTAGCTGATTGGCTCGTTTGCAGAACGGATGTATTAATTGGGCCACAGATTGAAGCTGTTCAGGGTTTTCCTGCACTTGTGCAGGCTCACTACATTAACAGAAGCCTGTTTAAGTTTGATGAATACAAGTTTTTATTTATTTATTTCTAATCTCTGCTTAAAAAGTATTTATCAGAGGCCAAAAGAAAAAACCTGGTTTTTATTGTCAGTAGAACTGACTGGCTTCTCAGACTACTGATCGAAACAAAAACCAGTAGTTAGTTATTTGTGACAGCATCCAGTCCTCACGTACAGTGAGACCAGCGTGCCGTTGCTGATGAAGACAAGTAAAGCCGTTAGCAGTGACAATCAGGGCGCCCGCTCTGGGATGTCTCCAGGTCTGGACTCAAACCTGTGACATCTGGAGCCGATCCACTAGAAACGTTTGAGTTTTAACAACTTCTTCAGCATCTTTGCAGTTTAGCATCCGTCAGGTCTTTGGATCAAACGCGCTTATGTCATCGTATGGATCTAAAAATGGGAAAAAATGCACCAAAGTCGCATCTTAAATTCTGCACCTCTTGAAGGGTTTAGGGTGACAGGTTTAGGTTGGGGCTTCAAAAGGATGTTTGTGTATTTCTTGGGATGCTACACGCGTGTACCAAACCTCATATATGTACATTTCAGCAAGTCTGACTCTACAAATATGTGAGGATGTTCTCGCCTCAGATGTGACGATGGCGACCTGTCTTGTAGCTCTGATGAAATTTGATTTTATTTTCTGTGGTTTGAGCTTTGGAAATGTGGCGGCCCTGTTAGAGATTCAATTTTTACTCTGATAGTGAAAATAATCAGGTGATATAATCTAGAATGATCACTGTGCAGTAACCTCTGCCTTCAGTCTCTGTGGACTCGCAGGACGTGCAACGTCTTTGACAGGACAGAAAAGTCTCTCACTTCTCTATCAGCACTCAGCTATGATTGGAAGATCTGATGTATTGATTAACCTCTCCTCTCCCTGTAGCTAAGCGCCATGCCTCCCAACACCAGCAGCGATTTCAGTTTCTCCAAAAAAGGTCAACTGATCATGAGCGTCGATCCAGTCAGTGGCCCGGCCCCACCCACGCTATCCGCGACCTCCTCCATCCTCACCAATGGCTCGTTTCCGCCCAAACGTCAGACTCCGCCCACACCTGACCTCCAGAAGTGGATTCTTGATGCTGCCAAGGTGGATGGAGCCAAGACGCTCACACACAATCTCACAAATGAACTCAACATGATATCAAACCGCTCAACTGATTCTGTGTCTGTGTCTCTGGTTGTGTGTGTGTGTGCGTGTGCGTGTGCGCGCGTGTGTGTGTGCATGCACACACTTGCGTGCAGGGACGTCCCACTGACGTGGTCAGATTGACTCGTCCTCTGACTGGCGGTCTGGGCTTCAGTGTGGTCGGTCTGAATCCAACAGGAAGCAGTAGCCGCGGCGTCTTCATCAAACACGTCCAGCCCGGAGGAATCGCTCACAGGTTCAGTGACGCGTGTTTAGTTTGTTCCTATCAGTGAGCAGCAGGTCACCACACCACGCTACAACCATTAATGCAGCAATAAAGCGTCATGTTAAACTTTTATTTTGAAAATATTGGAGCAGAACTGCTATGTGCCATTCCACTTCCTGTTATTCCCATCATACAGCAGGGGGAGCTTTCATCTGATTTTGTGTGATCGGAGTCGGCCCGTGTACGACAAACATGACGAAAATTAATAGAAAAAATGTTTGAAACATTAAATTTACATGCGTGTGATGTGTGGCTGAATCAGCTGGTGTTACCTGACACAGCGTCTGGCTGTCCAACATGAGCCTGCCAGCATTGCTCAGATGATGTCATGCGACCATCATGTGTGGCTGACATGTTTTGGTAGTTAGAAGTGATTGGGTGCAGACTTTAAAGGCAAAGGCAGTGAAGTTTGCCTTTAAAGTAAGTATGCACCGCTCCAACGGATGTGGTGCTGTGTCTGCAGGGATGGGCGTCTGCAGGAGCGGGACCAGATCCTAGTGATAAACGGCAGTCCTCTGGAGCCGGGCATCAGCCAGCAGCAGGCGCTCTCCCTCCTGCAGCAGCCTGGAGAGACGGTGGAGCTGGTGGTGGCGAGAGGCCGCCCACCTGACGCATCGTTGCCGCCCACAACACCAATCAACCCGGTAAGGAAACTGTGGCATTTATTCAAAGGTTTAAAAGAGACTGGACTTCTGACGTTCTGTGTCTGGGGCTCTGACGATGTTACAGAGGTGGTTTTCATGTTTTGGCTGATTGTGAGCAGCACAGACCGAATCACAAATGCAGACATTGTTGTTTCCCGTACTCTGATTTATTTGTGGACACGCAGATCTAATGCTCTGTAGAAATGACTTCAGTCGAATTATCGTAAACTATAGCTGACTCCTGACGACAACTCAAGGATTTTCCCATGATGTTTAAATGCTTCAGAAAATAGGGTTGCACCAATTGGACGGATTGGCGTCTGCATTTTCGTTCCCTCACAGGGAGCAGGATGGGCTCGCACATCAAAGGAGTTTCTCATTTAAACACAAACTACGCTCAGGATGGAAAACTCACATGTCTCACTTCTGCACTCGTCCAGGGTCAGACTTGTTTGGAAGCTTTTAATAATTAACAGGAGAAAATAACACGAGAGTGAATGATTACAGGAAAGACTCTCACATTGAGCTAAAGGAGACAAAAAATGTATTGATATATGGATTATAATTATACCGCCTGCGGCTTTCAGAGCTTGGATGTATTTTTTATCATATCAGGTGTGTGCAGAGTTTAAATGGAGCCTGATGTTGTCATCAGTGTAAAGAGGAGTTCCTGTTGTTTGTGTAACTCCAGAACAGAGGCTGAGCTGTTGTATGGAAGCTGGAAAAGTCACCAGCAAACTGCGCAACCTCGTGGTCTGCAGGAATATAAACACCTCCTGTTCATGTGCGAGTCTCGCCGTTTCTCGCATCCTGACGTCTGAAAGCTGCTCCATGAAGCTCTCTGGGTGAACGATCCAGAGCAGCAATACAGACAGAATGCTGAGACCACAAACCTGGAAGGGACGGCATTTCTGATCCAGGTGTGCGCTTTAAATAAGATCCAGTAAAACGAGCACAGATGGAACTGCGCACACAGTAAAACTTTACTGTCAGCTGTTTGAAGCAAACTCCAAAACAAGTCGTGAAATCAACAGTTTACTCCAAAACGATGTCAGCAGCTTTAAAAAACCCGAACTCAGAGTATGTTCCAACATCAGGGCGACACAAAACCAGACGTCAGCGTTTGTTTGATTTTTATCGCTCCATATGAAACACGCATACACAGACACAAAGAGACACACACAAACAGGCGCGCACAAACTGCAAGCTGTCACTCATAACTGGAGGTCACTTTGGGACCATGCCTGTGGATCGGAGTGACACTTCCTGTCTGTGGCAAGCTGACTTTGACTCGGTTGATTTTTTGACCTTAAAGCTGAAAGGAAATCGAGTTAGTGCTCCACCTGCAGCTTCACTCCTGACAATATGTGTTTAAGTCTGAGTGGAGGCGCGATCGATGAATGTCGACATGGCGGGAGGTGAAGATTGGTAGTGAGGTGGGAGGGAGGGGCCAGAGAAAAATGAGATGATGACGCAGCTATGAATGCCTGCCTTTTTACTCTCTGGACCATGATAAAAGGTCAGAGATCAAACTGTAGGTGACGTTGCACTTGTAGATGAATTTATTTCATGGGTGAAGCTCGCGGCTCCTCGCACTTTGTGTCTGAGTGTCAGAAACATCTCATTTGTTATTTATTGTCTTTTAAAGGTCTTCGTCACAGTCACGTGATGGAGCAGCTCACACGTTTACCTGGAGCTTCAGGTGCCCTCGACTTACTGCATCTTCTCCTGAAGACTGGGGGGCAGGGGTTAGGGTTCAAACTGCTGGCTTCCTATAGCGGAAGCGTTGCTGTTCAGACTTTATATTCATTTTCTAGGATGTTCAGCTAATTGGCCTCAGATCAGTACCTGCAGGTACCTGGGTGATCTGGGGTCATCACATGACCCTTTCAGGTTGTTCTCAGTCTGCCTCATGTTAGGGTCCACTAGAGCAGCGGTCCCCAACCCCCGGGCCTCGGACCGGTACCGGTCCGTGAATCGTTTGGTACCGGGCCGCGAGAGTTGAGGCTCAGGTGTGAAATGTATGGCTTTCAGGGTTTTTATCGGTTTTCAGCGTTATTTTGTTATAGTTTTTATCGTTAACTCGGTTTTCCTGGGTCTTTTCACGTGTGTTATGAATAAATCTTCTTTTTTCGGTACCGGTACTAGTTTTATTTTGTTGTATTTATCCGCGACACCTTAAAGGCCGGTCCGTGAAAATATTGTCGGGCATAAACTGGTCTGTGGTGCAAAAAAGGTTGGGGACCGCTGCACTAGAGCACCTCTGGCTGCAGTGTCCTCGCCTGTCAGGATTTCTCTGTGTGATCTGCTCCAGTACAGCAGACTGAACGTTAGCTCAGGCTCAAAGCTACGCACTGATCTGCTCCTGGAGCCAGAAGAGCTCATAAAGTTCCCTGGAATAGGTTCAGCTGCAGGAATGGAGAGAGTCATCCGTTTGTCCAGAATCAGAACTCCTCATCTGTCCATCCGTGCTAGACACAGGACAGAGGAGTGGCTTCGATAATGATCAGTGAGTGTGTTCAGGGATTATTGTGTTGCCGGAGGAGCAGCTGTGCATTAGAAACATGAAGTGAGAGCTGGCTCAGATTCATTCATTCGGGAACAAACCAGGATAACTAGCACCTGAGAGCAGTTGTGTTTTTTTCCACGAGATCACCCAGGTCTGGTCTTAAGGTGTGAGTCTCACCTGCCAGCAAAACCCGGTGTGTGGATGTGACGGAGGGTCATGGTGATTGTTGTATTTTGCCGGCAGCCAACGCCTCACTGCTCCACAGATCAGTTTTTCTCTCTTTTGATGGTGAAGCCCAGAGAGTTCCCAGAGAAGTTTAGCAACTTCCTGTGGGTAACTTCTGCTGAAGTTAGGCTCGGCCAGTCTTAAAGGCCCTTCCAGGTTTCTTTAACTGCACAATCTGTTATTTTTTTTTTTATCCCTGTGCTTTCTGCTTTTCAACAGTTTTAGCACAGCCATAAATTACCACTGAACTCCTGAGTGCGTTCGCCGTCACGGCATCCTAATCAATGGTGGGATAATACTCACTAAATAGACAGAAGCAGTAAAAGCTGCGTGACTGGCTGATTTATGGCGTTCTTTATGGCAGGCTTTATAGTGCAGAATTTCCTGGCGGTGGCGGACGGATTCCAGCAGAAATGAGTTTTGACGCCAGTGCAGCACGTCGCCTGTGATGGCAGGTCAGAGACACCTGAAGCTGCCCAGCAGAGCTCACTAACTGATGGTTAGCCGGGCCAGGAGAACGGCCTTAAAGCCCAGTGCAGCGCTGTGTTTTTATGCCCACAGCTCCATTAAACGTGACCTCAATAGAAGCAGCACATGAATAAAACAAAAGCGGGCATCCGAGGCCCTCAGCATGGCTCGGATCCAGCAAAGCGTGAGGAGGAGGGTACCAAACAAGGGGGACAGTGTAATTCTGCGTGATAATGACCCGACAATAGAGCGGAGCAGAGTGATTACAGCTCGGGCTAACCTGTGCTCCGCGCCTCGCATTAACAGTCCGGCCCCGCTCGGTCCGACACCTCGTTTTTCTTCCTGAAATCTTCTCGGCTTATTTAAATGTCAGAGTTCGCACACGTTTTAACGTCCTCCTCTACTCAGCTCAGTAACCGTGTGAGAGCAGAGTGAGGAGGAGGCTTTTAATAGTTTTTATTTATCACTTAACTTCAGCCAGAGTGCAGCAGAGATGAGAGAGACGCTTAAATCAGATCAGTGTTTGCTGTGAGCACAGAGGCCCTGAAACCGTCAGGCTCTCAGGTAAAAGTGAAGGTGTTTCTGCTCCTCTCAGAGTGTGCAGCAGGTCCTCTGCATCAGGATTAAACTAACTCTACCACACCCTGCTCCGTGCCCAGGAGGAGGCGGCATCAGGGGTCCAGAAAGGTTGGAGATGTTTGACAGTCAGTGGGAACCTGAGAAGCTCAGTCTGATGCCGGCTGTCACGTCTCATCAGATGGGGTTGAAACACTGAGGTACCTCAAAGCATCAGGATGTCTCATTATAACTAAAAGGTGCAGAAAAAGGTCTAAGGGTGGAGGAATGCTGTGAGGAACATCGGAGAGCTTCATTAAAACCACATCGTCTCCTGAACACAGAGCGTCCAACACATCGAGCTTTATCTCCAGCGTCCTGGGACCAGCTGAGGAGGAGGAGGTTGGTTTCATTATACTGAGGAAGGCCTCGTCTATCAGATGGAAACTGTAATAAGAGTGCAGCCACTTCATAAATGCTGCCCGTGCGTGTTAGCAGCAGCCTCTGCAGCCTCTCATTGATCAGTAGCTGCTATCAGGCAGGAGGAAGTGCTCTCAGCTGGTAATTACCTGCTTCACTCTAATGACCTTTCACCTTGGGACAGATAACCAGGCGGCGGCTTGGCTGCAGACTGAGAAACATGAAGATAAACTCACGGAGCTGCTTTTAAAAGATGCAGCTGCAGCTTTGAGAGGGCTGATCGGGTCAAATCGCTCTGTCCGCACTGCAGCTTCAGAAGAATGACATCTGTTAACTCAGGGCTGCAGTTTTATTTTCAGCTGTCACTGAAATTCCTGAAAAACTACCAGCTGATGGACGACGGGCAAAAGATGAACCGTAGACGTTTGGTGTGGACGAGCTGGAGGAGCACAGCACTCATGGTATAACTTTGATCAACAAGCTGCAATGAGAACATGGTTTTCTTTTTACTGTAACATTAAACTTGAACAGAAACATGGATCTCCTCTCTTTAGGCAGAACACATAAATGTTAACATCAGCGTGTGATGTGGGTCCTCTGTGCCCGACGGGATCCACCCACATTGCCGCAGAGTCAGTCTGTCACTGATAAACCGCTGCTGTGCATGTCAACACCAGTGTTTATTCTGGCAGGGCGGGGAACCACTTCTAGATCTGGAACCAGTGGAAAATTCTTGTGATGGCAAAGTAAAACCTGCAGTTCAAAGAGGGCGGAAGAAAAATGTGCACAGTCTAAAATAATGATCTTTTTTTATAAATGTAGTTTGAGTAGAAAGTAAACACAGTAAAAACATTCTCTTTTTTCACTGATTATTAATTTGATCTGGTCTTTTTGATTTGTTTGTAAAAGAAGCTTTGATACACTAGAGCTTCTAGTTAAATAAAGTTTAAAGCAGGACTCGTGTATATTGATGCTTTAGCTTTGTCTGCTGACTGGTTCTGGTTCTGAGGATCTCGCTGAACTTTCTGTGCTCCGCTCAGTAACCCCGTGTCTGTGCTGCAGGATCAGTGGGACCACGTGGAGGAGATCGAGCTGGTCAATGATGGATCTGGTCTTGGTTTCGGCATCGTGGGCGGGAAGACGTCCGGAGTGGTGGTCAGGACGCTGATACGAAACGGTGTGGCCGACAGGGTGAGTTTAGACTTTAAAATATAAGAAATACGTCTGTGTGAAGAGAATCACTGAGATTGTTAAAGCTCAGAGCTGGTCTTCAGCCTCATGTTCTGGGGGTCTGTGTGTAATCACACTGCGTGCTCTCATGAGCGTTAAACCCCAACGGCGAGAAATGTCAGAGCGCTGAAGCTTATGTTTACGGCCAGTTTTACCCCAGAGTAGACCGAATACTGGGGTGTGTTGATCTCATCTGTGTGCTCTCCACCAATCAGGATGGGCGCCTCCGCACAGGTGACCACATCCTTCGAATCGGGGCAACACCGACCAGCGGCCTCACCAGCGACCAGGTAGTCCAGGTGCTGCAAGGGTGCGGGAGCCGCGTGAACATGCTCATCGCCAGAGACCCCCAAGGTCAACAAGCAGCAGCACCTCCTCCCCCACCACCTCCTGTCTCTGCCCCCGTTTCCTCTTTACCACCCCAAACCCCCAAGCTGCCTCCCCAGAACCCGCCCCAGCGCCGTTTCAGCAAGGCGGTGAGTTCATACGAACTTACAAGCACATGGTGACTCTGAGCCAAAACATGTAAGCTCACTCTTCTGTGTGTGTGTGTGTGTGTGTGTGTGTGTGTGTGGTTTCAGCCCAATCTGGAAGGATACGAGATCCATGAGGTTACTCTCTCCAAGATGGAAGGACAGAGCCTCGGCATCTCCATCGTCGGCTACAACCCTCTGACCAGCCAAGGTGAGAGAGAAATCACTGTGCTGTCCCAGAAGGACGTCACACATCACACGGAGCTCTGTGACATCACACGGAGCTCTGTCACATGAGGCTCTCTGACCGTCAGCCTTCAGTCCAAGTCTAGACCAACTGAAACTTTCAAAACTTTTACTATGAAATCTTCTTTCAGTTGTTTGTGTGTGAATATTTGTGGTGGATTTGAATCCAGGACTTTCCTGCTGTGAGGTAATAGCACTAACTCTCTCTCTCTCTGTTTGTCTCTCACTCCATTCAGATGCAGTCGGTGTGTTTGTCAAACACGTGGTTCCCGGCAGCGCAGCGGATCAGAGTGGGAACATCCAAGTCCAAGACCGACTGATCGCTGTAAGAAAGCTACTGTTTTATTATAAGTGAACCCGGTTTGTGTTCTGCTGTGCTGTGGGGGTGCTTCAGGAGGATGGGTTTCTGACCACAGTGAGCGCTTGGTTTGCTTTGCCAGCAGTCAGTTATTCATGTTGGGCACGTGTTGGATTTTGAACCATTTCTGTTCTTGATCTTTAAAGACAGAGTTTGTGGGAGGTATCGGGTTTGGCGGTCTCAGCTTGGGGTCTCTGTTTGTGACTCCCAACTTGCTGTGGGTCGGGGAGTTTAAGTATTTAGATTGCACGCTTAGTTCTAAGAAGAGTTTGAAAAAGATGAGTGCTTAGATTTAGCACTCAACGAGCGTCTGTTCTCGTCAGACATGAATGTTTTTGGTAAGTACATAGAAAACTGAAGGGTCACTGGGTCTTGTTGAAGAATGAGGGGAGGTGGGGGAGGAGAATGACAGACTGGTGGTGTCAGCAGTGATGGTGATGTTGTGGAGATGAATGCTGGGCGTATAGGTGAAGCTGTTGATTTACTGGGTGGTCTACATTCGTGCACTCATCCACGGCTGTGAGCGCCGCATCCACACGGAAAGAATGAAGCTGAGGATACGAGCAGCAGGAATGAGCTCCTTCTTGTTTGGGCTTCAGGGGGCAGGTGTGCATGGATGGATTCTTGCACGGATGAAGCGTGAGCCAAAGTAAAACATGACCTTGAGTAAATGTTTGCCGGATAAGTTTCCTGCCATGCCGCATATGGTGGCTGGTTATTGATTAGTTATGTGATGCTATAAAAGGTTGTAATTGTTGAAGTTGCACAGCTCCTCTGAGGAAAGTGGTCCTGGAGGCTTCTGCAGAAAAACTGAGGCACATTCAGGCTAATAAAAATCAAAAATCTTTCATTGTTTGAGCCGTCTGCCACTTCCCTGGTTCCCCATCATTTCAGCTGATTCTTGAATGTGGTCTGGATCGGCTTCGGTTTGGTCGGTTGCACTCATGTTATCTTGTTCTTTCTCCTCCTCTGTCTGTCTGTCACAGCTGGACGGTGTCAGTCTGCACGGTCTGACCAACCAGGAGGTTCAGGAGGTGATGAAGCAGACGGGTCAGACTGTCATTCTCACTCTGGTCAGGAAGAAAGCCAGAGCTCTGGAGAGATCGTTGGATAAAGGTAGATAAATGTTTTAATCCAGTTTTGTCTGCCAGTCTGTGTTTCCTGAGTACTGTCCTGTGCGATTAAATGATGGCGTCAGTACTTTGACCGCACTCTGGTTAAGTCTGTGTGCGTCACAGTGGTTGTCTGATTCTGTGGGAGGGTGTAGGTCAGGGGACCCACAGAGTCCTTAAATGAGCACCTTGACTGTGCACAGAGCCGGCGACAGCGTCCCGTTAGACACCGGCCTGCAGATCACGCTGACTCAGCACACAACGAGGAGGCGAAAAATGAAGCCCGAGTACGCTTCTGTGAGAACGATAAACTGACTTTTGACGTCACCGGGATGTGTGCGGGGCTGGACACAGCTCTGACTGCATGGTGCTGAAACAGTAATGTGCTCCAGCGGGAGAAGTTAACTCTGTGCTAAACTTATCGCAGCTTTTCTTCCTCCCTCCTATGCCTCTATCCTCTCACCCAGATTAAGATGACAAATTTGTTTACAACTCGGTGTAATTTCCCCAAACTCTGCTGCAGGAGGCTGCGATTTGTCCTTCACGCCGTCCACAGAGATTAATTTGCCCGCTTCTGGGTCATTTTTTTGTCTTGCGGTCGGCCGGCGGCCCGCACTGGTCAGCCTCCAGGTCGGAGAGAAGCAGGTGATTTTTAAAAAAGAGGAGGAGTGCGAGGCTCTTATCTCTTCCAGACGTCTTTTCATTTCATTACCGAGGAAGCACAGAGGAGGAAATCGGCTCAGGTTTTAACTTGTTATAATCTGGTTGTTTCTATGGCTCTCTTATCTGCTCTGAGTTATGAAGAGAGTCCGACGGGAAAGTGAGCTTAAATAAATACTCATCAGTCAGGAGGTCAAAGGTCAGAGTGAGCTGAGGGCTCCTGGGTGATCTGCTCTGTGTTTAGATAGATGGACTTACAGGACCACTGTCAGCATCCCACAGAGATTCGATGAATAAATTAGAGACAACAAAACTCTGAAAGACTTTCAGATAAATACAAAATTCTATTAAACGGCACATTTATTCATTTAGGGGCAGCACGGTGGTTAGCACTGTTGCTGCACAGCAAGAAGGTCCTGAGTTCAATTCCACCATCCGGCTGGCGTCTTTCTGTGTGGAGTTTGCATGTTCTCCCCATGTTTGCATGGGTTCCCTCCGGGTACTCCGGCTTCCTCCCACCGTCCAAAGACATGCAGCTTGTGGAGATAGGTTAATTGATTAATCCAAATTGCCCATAGGTGTGAATGTGAGCGTGAATGGTTGTCTGTCTCTATGTGTTAGCCCTTTGACAGACTGGTGATCTGTCCAGGGTGTACCCCGCCTCTTGCCCTATGACAGATGGGATAGGCTCCAGCACCCCCCGCGACCCTGAAAAGGATAAGTGGAAGCAAATGGATGGATTTATTCATTTACTCCATCCACCTATCAGAGAGGCCACGACCTTAAACCATAAATTATCCACAATGATCAAACAGTTTTTTTTATCACACTGTAAACATGTTTATTTGTGCTGTGATGTTTAAAAATGGGGATCTATGGGGACTAACTCACTGCTGGGGCCTCAGCTTCAGTTCTGTGATTGGTTGATGCTTCTGTGCCGTCAATAGACACCCACCCCCAGACCTGATCCACAGTCCTTAATCAGGCCTCTCTCAGCCACGCTGGTACCAGCTCAGTGCTGTCAGTGCTCCTAAAATCTCATGTTTATCAGTGACATCAGTCACATCTTTGTCCTAAAATAACAAATTCTTACTTCGTGTGTGTGTGTGTGTGTGTGTGCGTGTGCGTGTGTGTCTGTCAGTGGAGAGAGAGCCTTCTCGAGTTTCTCTCAGGAGGTCATCGGAGGTCAAAGCTCACTTGTCTGGGTTTGGATCCACGATGATGAAGCAGGAATCAACAGACCTAAATTCAGCACAGCTAAACAGGGGTGAGAGACACACACACACACACACACACACACACACACGGTTGTGCTTGCATTCAATCATGAAGCAGCAGATCTATGTGGTCTTCAGGGACAAATGTCTCCGGTCTGTCAGGACTGAAGACCCAAAAAGACCGGGGGGCTTGAAGACCCTAGGGGTTTCTTGATGAAAGTGCAAGAAATTGATAATGAAAGCTGAAGAAAGGAATGATGGAGGTGAAAGTGCAGAAAAACAGATTTAATGTTAGACGACCTTTGCCTGACAGACCTACGTCATCATCGCCTTCCTCCAGGTGGAGATTGATTTTATTAACACTTCACGTCTGTTTGCATGTTCCGTGGCTTTGGGTGGATCAAAGATCCAGAAAGGAATGGCAGTGTGGTTCAGTTCGATCTGAACCGAGGCGCCTCAGCATGGACTTATTATCTGCTCAAATCTGAGACCTGCGTGTGAAAGGTTCTGATGGTGCACACTCGGACAAAGCTTCATCTCCTGCTATATAGCGCCTACCTCAAGAAATATACGCCCGTAGCAGCCGACGGGAACACTTCCTCCCTCCAAACCACACCTGCTATCTTAAACCTGATAACAGATTCTCGTTTCAGGAGTTACAGGAAGTCTAGATTTCTCTGATTTTTCTCTGGGCGCTACCCTCCTCTTTGGATCACACTCTTATAAATAAAGGTTCATTCATCGTCAGGTGCCCATGTACGTCATCCACAAGTTCCTCCTCCTCTGTGGTGTCACAAGAAAGCCCACTGCTGTTCTTCTTCTTCTCTCGTACACAGATGCAGGCATCAGTCCACGTTTCTTTAAACTCTAAGCACAGCATACAGGTGTGTTTAGAGTCTACTTCTGCTTCAGGCAAAGTCACTGAAACGCTGTAAAAAACAGGATTGTGTTGGAATTGTTATCTGTGTAACTGAAAACCTCAGATCAGCTCCTTTCTTCATTATCGCAGGCAGATGACGTCTTTAATACTTGATATTTATTATGAATAAATAAGAGGTAAGTGTGTTTAATGATGCTGATCAACCAGTTAAAAGCCTTCTCTCTGAAAGCCTCTAAAGATGTGTGATGCAGGCCTCTAACGGCTCTCCACACTGAATTATTTCCTCTCTTTTTATTCCTCATTAGCTTTGCTAAGTGGCCAAAACGCCACGCTAACACTTAGCACGCCGCTTGGCTGCTCCCGGCCGACAGATGTAAAGTGTCCAAGCTGTCTGACAGCCTCGCAGCGATGTATTGCCCCGTTTATTCAGCCAAACGCTGCAGATTAATTGCTGTGTGAAGGCCGGGGTTAGCAATGCTAATTTAATCAGAGGCTGTTGTTGTAGGGCTGCCAGAGCTGCCTCAGAGCGCTTTGACATGCGAACGGATTGGTGGGAACATGGAGGTGTTTTTGTGCAGCTCAGCAGCGGCACCGTCCTCCCAGAAATTAGGTGCCGGCACTCTGTAATCTGCTGCGACTGTCACCGCTGTATGACGCTCAGCTGCTTACTTTACACTTTATTTACGCGTTGAATTCCAATGAGCTGCACGACAAGCCGGCTCAGCATATCCATGAACAGTCACACATGACCGGCTCGCACATGGTCAGTGCAAGGGTCACGCTCATGTCAGGTCACCTGCCCATTCATTCGCACATTTACTCATCTGTCCGTCCACCCATCCATCCACCTATCTTCCAATTCATCCAGCCATCCCTCCATCTGTCCATTGGTCCCTTCATCTGCCCATTCTTCTATCCATCCACACACCTATCCATCCACACACCCATCCATCCATCAGCCCATCAACACATCCATCCATCTATCCCCTGTTAATCCAGCCATCCATCCATTCATCCCTTCTTCTGCCCATTCTTCCATCCATCCCTCATTCATCCAGCCATCCATCTATATGACTTAAATGATCAGAGCTACTGTGCTATGATGTGGTAAAGACTTCCTGTGTCAGAAGGTGGTCTGGAGTCAATAGCCACCCACATCCATTTGCCCCAGGTCGTCACTGGACGACCTCTCTATCAGCTGATAGAGGAGTCTAAACAGTCTGTTCGAACAGAGCGATTCTCTCTCAGTGGTCCACTGAGCTCTGACCATCTCAGTGAAACTATCACAGTGTTCTTCTGCCCAAGTGCTACAGTACTCTCACACTATACTATTTGTTTGCAGCACTTTAACACTTTTTGAAGCTGATGAGAAAA